AGCCAGTGAAGAGGATTTAAGGATGTAAGAAGAGCTGTGCTGGATCAGGCATCCTGTTATCGCAGTGGTCAACCTATGGGAAGTCCATATGCAAGACCTGAGTGCAATACCACCTCTCCCCACCTCCAGTTTCCAGAGGCTGGTATTCAGAGGCAAACTGTGTCCAACAGTGGAGGTAGTAAACATAGCCATCATGGCTTGTAGACATTTCATTAAGTCTTCATCTCTATAACCTAAGCACCGCTTTGTGGCATCCCTTGCAGAAATCAAACATGATGGATTCTGCTCACACCTTTAGGGCAGAGAAAGGCAGTGGTGCAGGGTGATTTTTCATTCTTTACTCCTCTCCACTGTCTGGCGGTAGTTCCTTCTGTTTAGCACCAAGTTCCTTCACAAGCCATCAAGCTTAGACTTGAACTCTTTACCCTACTGCTTTGACCTCTGTTGGCCTAGCTTCAAAATCCGACTGGCCTTCAGCAAATTTATAACCTCATAAACCGCTGGTAGTGCTTCTTTACAATGTGTTTAGGCTAGAGCCTATGTCAAATATTATAATTGTCATAGTTTATGTTTGCAGTTGGTGGGGTGTGTGTGTGAATTAAGGCAGGAAAATGAGGAACCAACCAAACTGTGGATAGTGAATGTCCAGTTGGCCTTCTCTCCTCCCTACCACCTCACTGTTCAGTTCAGTTCTGCATCCTTCTGCACACCTGCCCAGAAAAAGGCAACCAAACTTATCAAGGCCATGAAACAACATCCCTAAACGAAGAAAGGTTGGAGCGTTTGGGACTTCTGAGTTGAGAGAAAAGGTGTGCAAGTGATGACATGATAGAAGTGTACAATATTATGGATGTCATGCATGAAGTAGGTAGGGAAACATTTTCCTCCCTCTTTCAGAACACTAGAACTCATGCGCATCCAATGTGAATTGGCTGTACCCATAACTCCTGCACTTTTATTTCACTAATTGGTTTAACTGGTTTTTGCAGATCCTCTAAGCTGTTATATTTTAACAGACATAACCTGTTTCACCAGATTCATGTTGCTCGAGTCTTTTTTACGGGCCTCATGGCAAAGTCTACATGAATATTTGCATGCATTTCTGTGCAAATTTCTCCTTTAAAAAATCCCGCGTTACAGTGTGCATTTTTGCTGCTGTTGTTGGAGAAGAGCACTGCAACATCGAGAATACTGCAAATCTTGTTGGATAGCTCTGTTTCTTTATTTATAGCAAAATAAATAAATAAATAACTTGTATGTGGCAATTACATTTTTTTTAAAAAAATCAAAGCGGTTTACAACAATTGTACGCACACAATAAAAGCCACATGGTTATAGATCACTGACTAGTTTATCTTAACTGCCTCCATAATCCCAATGGCAAAGAAAAAAAAAAGTTTTCAGCAAATGTTTAAAGGCCAATGTAGAAGACACCTGCTGAATCTTTACTGGAAGATGCCTGGACCAATGACAGGAAAGGTGGCCTTCTTGATAGTCCCACCTCCCTCAGAAGTTTCTAGAGGTTTCCTGGAGGAGGGCCTTCTCTGTGGCAGCCTCCTAGGTCATGGAATCCCCTCCCCCACAGAGGTACATCTGGAAACTTCACCATATAACTTTTGCTGAATGGTGAAGAAATGCATATTTACCATGACCTTTGACACCTAACATGTGTGCTTTGACAGCCCCACCCTATTCCTACAAATGCCATCTGGTGATTTGTTAATTCAATATGATGATTTGTTGATTATTCTATATGATTTGTGCTGTATTCGTAATGTTCTATTATGTTCTATCATGCTATTCTTATTTATTGTTTGTAAGCTGCTTTGGGTTTCATTTGAATGAAAAGCAGCATAGAAATGGAGTAAATCAAATCAATCAATCATTTTTAATTTTTAATTGTTATAACCTGCCCTCAGACCTGCTGATCAAGGGTAGGTCATAAATTTAATAGCATCAGCAGCTCAGTTTCATGTCAAATGAACCATCACTTTGAGAAATGCAAATTAGGTAGGTTCACATTTTAAAAATTGTGAGACATTTAAGGAGGATGTTTTAAAAAAATCAAAATAAAAAATTGTATGTGTGCCTCATTGCAATAACAAGCATTTAGAGATAAGCTCACATTGACTGGGTACAAATGGAATAGGACTTATTGCTAACACATCATGAGAAAGTCCAGGAAAACTGCAAAGTGGCTTCTAAAACAAGGAGGATGGGATTCCATTTTTGGGGGTGATAAATGAGGTTATGATAATAAGGACTGTCCCCACATGGCTTGGGATAATAAGAGCCCTCCGAGGTCCAGACAAATAGCCGATGAGTTATGAGATGAACAAGGTAAAAAGTTCAGCACTACTGCAAGGTCACAGGGTGGTCAACAGAGGGCATTTCATGTGGGACATCCCACACACCCCCCCAGCCCTCAAGTTTAGCTTCTAAAGGAAAAGATTATTTGCCTCATCTCATCCTGGAGAGAATTGGAATAGACTGAGTTGCGTATAGATATGTCTATGTATCTCTTTTCAAACTGCCTCTGGAGCCAGCCAGATCTAGAGTTTCACAATGTTTGGCAGAAGCTGCCCGGGTGTTTCGTTTTAACTTTCAGAGCTCAGAAAGTGTCATTAACAAGACAGCCATACAAAGGGGGCAGGGAGAGAGTTGCTCTAGTTTTCAATCTGAAACAGCAATGGTTTCTTAAAAGGAAGTCTCTGGAGGTATGCTACCGAAAATATGGGATTTCATAAAAAAGAAAATAAGCCAAAGTGAAGCATAGAAAGAACACCTTTAGGCAAACACATGTTGCCATTGCCTAGATAGGTGATGCAATGAAGCATGCCCTCCAACTCAGTTAGTTGTTCCACTAAAACTGCAAACTGGATAGACTTTGGCTGGGATAAATGTAACGATTTGGCCTAATTCAATAAATAGGCAATGGTAAGCAGGGCTGCTGTGAGATCCCAAATAACCCTGCTAGCATTGTCAGATTAGAATATATTTTGGGCACATTCATACTGCTTTAAAAAGTCATGGTTTCCCCCAAAAGAGTCCGGGGAGTTGTGGTTTGCTAAGTATGGAATTGATGCTTTTGAATTATGGTGCTGGAGGAGACTCTTGAGAGTCCCATGGTCTGCAAGAAGATCAAACCTATCAATTCTTAAGGAAATCAGCCCTGAGTGCTCACCGGAAAAACAGATCCTGAAGCTGAGGCTCCAATACTTTGGCCACCTCATGAGAAGAGAAGACTCCCTGGAAAAGACCCTGATGTTGGGAAAGATGGAGGGTACAAGGAGAAGGGGACGACAATGGGCGAGATGGTTGGACAGTGTTCTCGAAGCTACCAGCATGAGTTTGACCAAACTGTGGGAGGCAGTGGAAGACAGGAGTGCGGAGTGCCTGGTGTGCTCTGGTCCATGGGGTCACGAAGAGTCAGACACGACTAAACGACTAAGCAACAACAACAAACAACAAGTATTGTAGTGTTGTAGATGTATGGTGTGAATGTGGCTGTGGTGTGACCTCTAAAACTCATGTCCAATTAAAAAACAAAACAAACCAGTACTAAAGGCTAGAAAGACAGCAAGAATCAGGATTCTCTGTCACAAAAATCTGCCAGGCATGATGCCTGACTCATCAGAATCTGCCAGTCCCTGTCCTCAGATCACCCAAAGCCACAGTATCCCCACCACTGGTTCAGTAGCATATTCCACGTTCTGCCCATGAATCAGCAGCATCTGCAAAGCTCCACACATGATACAGCAGCATCGGCCAAGCCCTGCCCATTGCTTGACAATCTAGCCTACAAGGAAGTGCCCTGGCCCCAACTCCCTCAATTCGAAAAGCTACCACACTGAAAATGCAGACTCACTGCTACTGGGACATTTGTCAAGAAGGGTGTTCTGGGCTGGAGCTCTGCATCCAGATTTCCATCTTCCTGGATTACTGCAGTGACCGTGTCACCAGCAAAGTAGCCTTTGGAAGGGGCTTTGCAGCTGATTTTCAGTTGTTTGGGCCTTGGGTGGAGAAGGTTTTCACTGATACCAGTTGTGGCACTCACACAGGGTCCCCGGACGTTTCACCGTCTATTGATCCCTGTGCCACCACTTTATTTCTCGCTGCCACCACCCAGGCCCTACCTGGTAAAATTCTGAGTCCAGTCAGGGTTAAATTGGAACATAAACTTTATTTATCGCAGTTTAACATGCGTGTGGTTTCATAAACGGTATCAGTCAATTGCAACCATGGGGTACCCATCCAGACCTATAACTTCCGCTACCTGCTCTCACTCACTAAACCACCTCTCAGATATTTACTTGTCTTCCTAGCTCCTAACTGTTCCTGACTCAGCTTATTTCACTACACTAACTCAACCGACCCACAGACTCTATCCCCATTCACTCCCACTCCAATCAACCACCCAACTCCTAATGAACTTCTCCCTTCGCCCCTTCCAGAGCTGGTTTTATAGTCCTTCTGACTCCACCCCCTGGGTTCTGATTGGGTAACCTGTTTAACTATTTCACCTCCAGCACTCTCATATGTTAACGTCACAACAGTCCCCTTCCAGCATGTATAGCTGACCACATGGTTTCGAAGAGTTCCGAGAGACGAAAATTTTAGGCAACGCATTCGCCTCCACAGAGTGGACTCGAAACCTATTTATAAAAAACAATTTTATTTTCAGCGCCACAGAGGATTTCTGAACTTTTGTCCAGCTTGACCCAGAACTGAGACCTACATCCTACCTGCAAATCTGTCTTTCTGTCTGCATGCTGAGCCCATAGACAACACACAAGCGGAACCCCCCGCACAATAAATAGGGCATTCCTGTTCCAATATGCAAACAACACGCTCAACAAATTTAGGTGGATATTCAGGAGACATATATCACACCCACTTCCTCGCCCCTGGAACAAGGAAGCAGTCTAGGTCCTGTCATAACCAAATACAGAAGTTGCACAACTTGGACAAGATCAAAAGGCATTTTTTTTCTCTCCTACCTTTTTAATGCAGCCAGCTTGCAACGCTGTCTCAGGATCCGTAAGCATTTGCTGAAAGCAAAACAAAAACAAAGGTCACTTGGCAGATCTGGGGAGCAGTGAGACAATGCAAACCATATTGAAACAATACGGGTAAAAGTATGATTTTAGACTGGGAAACAAGCATACAGTGATTTGCATACAGCGATAGCACTAGGAATGGGTGAATCTGTCAGTTTGGGTATCTCGTTTTTCCTAACTTAAGTTCTGTTCTCCACACTTCCACATCAATGTGTTTGCAATTTCATTTTGTGGAGAGCCCTCATGAAAATTCACCAGCGAATTTCCCTTAATATACGCATTTTCTTTGTGTGAAATTTTGCCTGGTGTAAATGTTTTTTTGGCAAAACCATTTCTCCTAACATGCAACAATGTTTTGTATATTATCTTCATTAATATAGGCATTCATTTGCACACTTTACCATAACATATATATATATATATGTTTCTGCAGACGTTGTTTGGAGAACTGCATTACAAAATTCAGAGAAGGGCCAAGTTCAAAGGATGGCTGTGTTTTAGTTCGCATACCGCTTCGGAAACTGAATTAGGTTGATTCACTTTTAAATGCAAACTGAATTGGATTCCTCCCCAGTCTCTAGATGGAATGCAAGGAAGGTTAAACCAGGCCTTCAAACCGAATAGAGAATTCCAGGGATGTGGGAATCAATCTAATTCTCATTTGACATATGTTCCCCTCCCACTGCAGTCCATTCCATTCAATTTCTACATCAATCTGCAATTCACACTAAAAAAATAAATAAATCACACTAAAACATTGAACACACATTTAAAATATTATTTCCCTCTCAAAGCACGCATTTCTAAGTGTATTTGCTTTTGCTAAAACATGCATTTCTAGACATATTGCCTCTCAAAATGTACATTTTAAAAAGTATGTTGCTTTTCTTTGTTTTTTGCGCTTAGAACAGAGTCATAGGTTAGAACTCAATGCAGTGAATTGCTCTGTTAGAGCAAGTATTCCTGCTTGCCTGACTGAACCATCTTCCCTTTCCTCCTCCGGCACCTGCCTCGATCTAGGGCAGGCATAGGCAACCTCGGCCCGCCAGATGTTTTGGGACTACGACTCGCATGATCCACAGCTAACAGGACCAGTGGTCAGGGATGATGGGAATTGTAGTCCCAAAACATCTGGCGGGCCAAGGTTGCCTGTGCCTGATCTAGGGGTTATCCCAACCCTCCAGCGCAGATTTAGGAGAGGCATGGGAGCATACAGGGTGTGGGGTGGGGAGGAGGAGAAAAGACTCTTTGTGCTAGTGGAAGTCCTTCCACTGGCTTTTGCTAATGGAACCGGTAGTTAAATCCAGCCCATGGTATCCAGGAACTGCAAAAAACACACACACCAAAAAAACTGATGGCTAGCTAACAGTGCAATTCAAACTATAGGAAGCCAGTGCAATTTATGGCAGGATAAATTATGGTGATGTAATTTACCTCTTTTCCAAACTCTGTTTAGGAGTGAGGAGGCAGAGAAGTAACAAGTCTTGGAGGTAGAGTTTGACTTACACCATGCTGTTTGCCATGTAACTTTTCCCGGGTTGCCAGGTCACATGACTGAACTGAATGGAAATTGAAGCAGGGGCAAGTATTCTTCTACCCCAGGCTTCATCAAACTTGGCCCTCCAGATGTTTTGAGACTACAATTTCCCTCATCCCTGACCACTGGTCCTGCTAGCTAGGGATCATGGGAGTTGTAGGCCAAAAACATCTGGAGGGCCAAGTTTGAGGAAGCCTGTTCTACCCCATCCTGCCATGCCCCATCATTCCCTGGAACTCCCCTTTTGGGGGACTTCCCCCAACCCCTGCTGACCTTTCTTTATCCGGGTTAGCTGAGCCCCAGCTGAACCACGATGGCATACTTATGCTGGTGTGTCTCCAGCTGAGCCAGGATGAGGACCTTCAGTCAGCGTATCCTAACTGAGGCCTGACACAGTGAATTCAATCAGAAACCTGCCTGTTCTAAGCTCCTCTCGTCCCAGCAGATCTTGGGTTTGGCTCCTAAGGTCTCGTTTACATTATAGCCTGCGATCAGGTGAGTTTTATACTGGAATTTGCAATTATCAAATTCTCCAAGCATCACTAGCTCACACTCAGGCCTGGTTCACATTTCCATTAATTACCATACAATGAGCTGTTGGATATGTAAGCTGACTCCATTCAAAAGCACCCTCGTTAAGGGGATAAGCAGGACAATATGAACATGTCAACTAGCATGTTCTCTCTCTCACAGTATATACATGCATGCAGTTTGTTGCTTAAAGACTCCTGTCCCAAGCTTGATTTTCACCTCTGCCATGACCTACCAAGTGGTCTTCAGAAAGCCCCTCATTCTCATCCTCTTTCCTATCAGGAAGAATTATTTGTTTCTAAGCACGGCAGGGATGTTGTGATAAACTAAACAGGTGATGGGCAAACATGAATTATCCCAGTTGATTGCTTGCAAAAAGGGTCAGGGCGCCAGAGATGTGCTGCAAGCATGCAGAATCATGGCAGAGCTCTGTATGACTATGGATCGTATCCAATGCTATTCCTACTCAGAGGAGACCCACTGAAGTTAATGGACATGACTAACTTAGATTCACTGCTTTCAACAGGTCCACTCTCAGGAGTATTTTGTCAGAGACAAACGCGTGTTGCTCCAGGAAAGAACAGGAAGCCCTTTATACTACAGTCGTTCCTCAGGTTACAGATGCTTTAGGTGTGTTTTTGGCCTACAATTCCCATCATCCCTTGCCACTGGTCTTGCTAGTCAGGGATGATGGGAGTTGTAGGCCAAAAACATCTGGAGGCACAAGGTTGGGAAACACTGCTTTAGGTTACAGATTCCACTAACCCAGGAATAGTACCTCAGGTTAAGAACTTTGCTTCAGGATGAGAACAGAAATCACACAGCGGCAGCAGGAGGCCCCATTAGCTAAAGTGGTACCTCAGGTTAAGAACAGTTTTGGGTTAAGAACGGAAACGGACCTCCAGAAAGAATTAAGTTCTTAACCCGAGCTACCACTGTACTTCATTGGTCCAGGTGGATCCAATGGTGAATATGGATGGGTGAAGTCGGTCCAGATTCCAATGGTTCTTCATTGAAAAGCAGCCACCTACAGTTTGGTGACATGGGGGAATCTGTACAGAGCCGACAGTTCCACACACATCCTCACTGCCACATACTGCAGTTAGGAGCAGATTTGATTGTCAAAACTGGAGAAAAGAAACGGGCAACAGCCATTTGAGGCAAAACCTGTTCTTTGCCAACTAACTGTGGTGCCATTTAGACTCCCTTCACTGGGGAGGGCGCACTTGGAATAATGTGTCCATTCTAGTTGCTTTGCCTCTAAAAGGGATATTGAAGAGCTGGGAAAAGGTTCAGAAAGGGATAGCCAAAATGATCAAGAGGTTGGACAACTCTCTTATGAAGATAGGTCACAACATTGGGGGTTTTCTGGTTTGTTTGTTTTTTTTTTTTAGTGTAGGGAAAGGTGAGTAAGAGAAGGCCTGACGGAGGTGGGCAAAATTATACATGGTGCTGTGATTGTGAAGAAAGTTTACCTCTCCTTCTCCCTATACTAGAACTCAGGACATTCTGTGAAGCTGAATGCCTAAAGATTTATGGCCGACAAAAGAAAATACTTCTTCCCACAGCAGCACATAGCTAAGAGAAGTAGTGGTGGTTGCCAACATGCCTGGTTTTGAAGGAGAATTAGACAAATTTGTTGAGGCTATCAATGGCTGCCAACTATGATGGCTGTGTTCTACCTCCACTGTTGGAGGAATCATGCCTCTGAATACCAGTTTCAGGGAATCACAGGTAGGGAGAGTGCTGCTGTCCTCAGACCCTACTTACAGAACTTCCCATCAGCCTCTGACTGGGCAATGTGAGAACCTGAGAAGAACGTAAGAGCCCTTCTGGATCAGGCACAATTAGTTGAGTATCCTGTTCTCACAGTGGCCAAGCAGATGTTTGTGGGAAACCCAAAAAGTGTGTTAGTTTAGATGGCCCACTGGCCTGATCCAGCAGAACTCGGGTTGCATCCAACTAAGTTCTCCTCAGAACAACCCTATGTAAATTAATGAACCTAAGTTAGCCATGTCTATTAACTCGAAAGGGTCTACTCTGAATTGGCTACAACCTTTTCATGCTTTTACAGGGCCCTTCAGACATCTATTTACTTACTCTCTTGCACATAAATGTCTGCCATTTATTTCCATGGGGCCGATAAAGGTCTTCAATCAACGGGAAAGTTGTGGTGGAGCAAATCTACTCCCTACACCTAATCATGGGTGGTCCAGCCTCCACCAACACGGATCCCTTTGCCCCTCCCATCCTATAGATCATTGCCATACACAGGGCCCACGTGTAGACATTCCCCTGGTTTCTTAATATTAACAGTAATCACTCATTATCATCGTCAGGATTTCAGACCTAAATATATTCGCTGTATTTTTCTTTCTTTCTGTTCCTTCCCTAATAACCCTCAATATTCTCTTTCCTTTTGGACACATTTGCACAGCTGTTTTCTGGGAAGCTCCTGCAATGGTTCCAAGATGTCTTTCTGGAGTCGTAGTAGCTAATTTGGAACTCACAGACTACTCCAGCTATTTCTTCTCTCTCTCTCTCTCTCTCTCTCTCTCTCTCTCTCTCTCTCTCTCCCACCCCCGTTTTCCAGGGTGGAACTCTGAGCTACAGAAGTCCTACACGTTCTGCCCAATAAATGTGCCAGCTGAGTGGGTCTGGCTCCATCTGTGTGTTTGCATGACCCGGCCTGGGCAAGGCCGCCCAATTTCCTAAGTTCAAATATGTTGGCAGGGCTTTTCCCTGAGCTCAGCTGTGACAACAAAGTGTCAGATTTTAAATATGAAGGGTTTTCTAACCCCTCCGATGTTTTACATTTCTTTTAATAGACACCAAAAATTGTGGTTTTGGAAAGCTGCGAAAAGCAAACAGGAGCGAAAGGTGAGCGCCAGAGGAACAAAGCAAAGTTTGTCGGGGGGAAATC